CTTGGTTCTTTGTGAAGAGAATTCCGATGAAAGACACAAAATAAAATCGGTCGTTCCATTCATACTATCAATGCGTTAGATCTTTTAGTTTAATAGGTTCAATAGGTTACTATTATTATGTATTAATTTTATATAATTTAATATAATGGAATTTTTAAATATTAGATGGTTGGCTGATTCTCCGCCATTAGTATTTTTACTAAGATGAGAGAAACATATATGATTCACAATCTCGGGATTTCTCACTATGAGAGATCGGTTCGATACACATCGGTATTACACCCTTTTTGTTCATATAGTAATTGAAGGGTAAAAAATAGAATCCCGATACGTTGAATGATCTATGATCCTTAAAAGAGAGTGAAAGACATCTCTGTGTTTGAGATACATCTATGAATGGCCTGTGTTTAATTTACCCATTAAAGACCAAAAAAAACGTAACAAGGCAATGTTTAAAAGTTTATTTTTTCCTAATATTCTATTTTATAGTCTTTAATTGTGACAATGAAACCATCACATGCTTAGTGGATGGCCGCGTATGTCATCTAAGTGGTTTTCTGTCGTCTATCCCAAGGAGGCCTTTTTTAGTAAAATTTTGATAACGTATAGATGAGAAAAAAGAATGGGGAAAGTCGTCACCAACCCTTTCGTTAAGCTCAGTCCATGTCACATAAGAACCGATGATATCAGCTATTAGGTAGTGAGTATATCAAAAACCAACCGTAATTCGAATCACTTTGGTTTGGGTTTATGACCAATAAAAAAAGACAAATATATTATTAAAATATTGAATAATTAGTAATCTATATTACTTTTTATATGTGTGTATTGATTCAAAGTTTTGACTCCTTTTGGAAAACTAAGCTAAAAATACCAGAAACTTATCAAATCCCAGACCATGTGATCTTTTAGCTTATGTAATGTAATTGATTATATACTAATATTTCATTTAAGTATTTAATCATTTTTTCATTTTATTAATTGTAAATTCTGATTTAAGAAGGTATTTAACCTTTATGTTATTATTAAATGGGTAAGTGATATTAACAATTAAGAATAATTCTTAATAATATCAAGTTTGGTGTTAATCTACTCGAAATAGATCGAGTCGTTGCACCGAGTTTGCTTGAGTTTGGTTCGTCAAAGCTCGACTCATGAAGAACCAAGCCAAGCCGTGTTCGTCTTGATTTAAAAAGCAAAGCAAGCTGACCATGAATTATGAGAGGCCCAAGTCAAAGACAGTCTTTCTGTTATTTTATAAAAATCGAAAACCAACCAAACTTACTATATGAAAGAAATAGCTCGAAAACAACTTGAGCTCAGTATGAAACTTGAACTTTTAAGGTTGCCAAGCTCAGTTTGAATAAGAAGCAAGCCAAACTAGCTCAAGCTCAGAAAAATTATTAAACAAGCTAAACTTAAAGAACATTGTATTTGCGACTCGCCTTTCCTTTACGCCCTATTTATATGTATTTTATTCTTATGTGAGTTTGTATGTTAAAACTTAATATATTTGTTCCTGCATGAGATATGCTATTTTTAATTTTATTAAATAAATGATGGTTACAAAATTGGATTAGATAAAGTAACAATATCAAAAAACGTGTTTATAAAAAATTGTCTTACGAAAAAAACTATATCTCTCAAAAGAGAATTAATACGTTTTTATTGTCGAAATTTGTTAAATATTAGTAGAAAAGTTATCAATGTGTGAGGATTTTGAGTTTTATATTAAATATTTTACAAAAACATAACGTTAAATGTTATGACTAATTATTAAACTGAATTAATATGTATTCATTACAATAAGCTCTGAACTAGCTTACAATGATTACCTCACCAATTCCCGATTGATGGTTGATCGAAGATTTCAATGGGGATAATATCAAACCAAATCAGTTGTATCATCAGTCTTTTGTCTGTTTTTTAGACATACTTCAAGTAACGAGTACAAACAATATATTATTCCAAAACTAGACTATTCGCATATACAGTGATTTTAAAAGTAATCAAGAGAAAATGGCAGTAAATACTCATTATGATAAGAATTCTTCTGGTGCGAAAATGTGTAAATGTCTATAACCATTCTAAAAACAATTTCAAAGTGTATTATCTAAGTATTGTTGATAGAGCAAAGAAGAAGATCTCTAAATCTGACATGACCGCAATATCACAATATAGTTGGTCAATTTAGCCACTTTCTCCCTTTTTATGAAACATGAAATTTAGCCACGGTCTCATTTGTGTATAATTACTATTTGTTTCATATAAGGCTACTTAGGCAAAGAAGACATGAAAATCAAATCTTCGACGTAGTTATCTAAGATTCTAAGGCAAAGGCATTATCTTAGGCGTTCCAAAATATAGAGTAAGAATAATTAGGGCTTAAGTGAATATTTTCACTAATTTCACTTGTAAGTTGGCTATGAAACGCGAAGACATAATATATTTATGTTAAGCTATAACTCAATATTATGAGTCATCGATTCATATTCGTTTATTGTTATCTTATATTTTAAAATATTCTGGCGTAAATTGTGACAAAGAGGATCCGACATCTGACATTGATAAACCCACAACAATTGTTGGAAAGGGATTAGCCCCTTTCATGAACATATTCCTGAAGGCGATGTTGGATTAGGCCCATCACAACCACAGTTGTCATTATCAGTTTTGACTCGACCTGATGTGATCTTATATTAAAGCACTACTACACAACAAGAACAAATAATCTTATCCCGATATATGATTCAAACAAAAAAAAGTAACACAAAAAAAAGGAATATATGATAATCTTTCTCATCTATACCTAAATATTGCTTAAGGCTTATTGAAAAAAGAGACCAAACATTGAATTATAATAGACTACTACTAATATTACACCGAGACTCTTGCTTTTTCGTTTTTTGTTAGCCATTTTAGACATCTCGGGCTCTAGAAAATCCAAAAAAATTTCAAAGTTTTTCCTGTTCTCTTTCTCGACAAAGTCACAGAAATAAAAAAAAGTTAGACAAAACTTTCGATATCTCCATTTCTTACAACCAAGGAACTAGAAATCCTCCACCCGAGAAAAATTGCGTTCTACCGTTCTTTACCGACTACAAAATAACAATGGTTCCGTTACCGGCATCAGGTTATACCTACCTACATCCGACCAACGTCCGCGTTTTATGATTATTGTACACAAGTCTACCATGATCGGACACCCTGTGCCATCTTACGATTCCTCTCATAACCAACACATATCATAAACTCAAATCCTCCAGTCGCTAGCTAGCGTCCCCTGATCGCGATCGTCATTAGCAGTCTTCGCCTGATCTTCATCCGGGCACCATAGTACTTCTATACCTACTACGCTCCCGACACGAACTCCTTATCATACCCTGGACCGCTCTCACAATATACTCCTTCTGGCTAGTTATCTTCATATGAATTGTACTTGTCTTTTTACTTGTGTTGATTAGCTGCATTATGATGATGACTCGTTGATACACAAGTGATTTTACAGCTGTACACAAATTCATTCCTGTCATTATTCGATCACCGCCGTTTTAGGTGCATCTCAGTTTTTTGATGATTATAGACTTTGTGCCATCAAGATTATTATGAAGATGGCATATGATAGGTTATAATTTGCTCTCTATTAGGAACACTTCAATAATGAGTAGACTTGGAGTTGGGTGGATTTTATGTTGTGTTTTGGTGGCCTTAATGAAAGAAACTGGGTCATCCAAGCATCCAGAGCGGCCACCATTTGCGCTTGAAGCGCATCCAGCGGGGCATGCTGGGTTTCTAGTGGCGATATGTTTTCTAATCCTTTTTTTGTCTTTGTGAAGCAAGGTAAGTTTTTTTTTCAGGGGGCAAACCGTTCCCCCCCCAAAAAAATTTTCAAGATTCCCAAAAGGGGTAGGAAAAGGGACGTAGGATCACTGCGCACTCTCACGTAGCCTTGATATGTTCTGGGTTTCCACCTATGTCTCGTTTCTGTACTCTATTTGTGTATTTTTGGCCTAAAACCTCTCCTGGTAACTTCTAGATTTATTTGCTTATTTTACACCTGGAACTGTATGTCTCACATGATCGCCCTGTGCCCTTATTCCGCAGGCATGTGATCTGTTTTGTCGTGTCTTCCTCCGATGAGTCTGAAACTTGTCCAACTCTGATTAAGTTGAGTTATTTAGCAATTCTGATAATTTTTTTCTCTGATATCTTCGAGATATATTCTAATTGTTAACAATTTATTCGAGTCCTTCATCGTTTAGTCTCGTGTAGCAATACGAAAAAATCGCCAATTATCTCGACTTAGGAGGGATGTTTGTAAGGCTTTCACCTAACGTTTATTTTATAGACTCTTTGTCTGTCTAGAGATTCTTGATGTCAACTCTTGCAGAGATTAGTCAGTGCATATATGATCTATAGATCTATAGTTCAACCATGTAATAAGACCTTACAGTTTGTATTCGTGCACTTATCATTTTTATTATTTATATGTTGCTTTTAGGTTACTCGTTCTGGTTTTTCGTGTCGAACAGAGAAATGTACTAGTACAATGGAGTTTTTGTAAGTCAGCACCATAGCGGAAACGAGCAAAGATACATAGCAATTAGACAAAAATCAATAGTGTATATTGATGAACAAAAGATTTCAGAGAACAATAGAACCTGTGTCTATTACGAACAAAGATTTACCAGATTATATTGTTATCTCAACGATGTATACCTCATACACATTTGTAAGTATATCTCGTATTGGTTCCATGCGTGTGGATTTTACATTAAATAAGAAGGAATAAAAGCAACTCATGCTAAATTATTTTGGATAGAACGTAGTGGTCAAGTACTGATTCAGTTATAATAGATGCAAACTTCAGCCGTATTTGCTTGAAAAAAATCAGCCGTGTTCTTATTTCCTGATTTGTTGTTTGATGGATCTTTCTCTCTCATTTAGTTTTCCCCCCTTTCCCATCAGTATATATTACTGCAGGTCATGAGTTTTGAAACATTGTGCCTTACTATGTGCAGGTCATGACGGCTGGGCAAAGAGTATCATTTGAGTTTCAGGGGATCAACTACATTTTTACTGTCAATCAAGCTGCAGTAGAGGGACAAGAAAAGTCTAATAATGGTATTGAAAGAGGGATGATTGTGAATGATACATATTTCATCTTTGAAACATCAAATGCAAGTGGAATAAAGGTGAGATTTTGATATTTATCTTTACTTATTAATATAAATTGTCAAATTATGTCAGACCCAGTAGTTTTAACTTTTAACTAGTGGAAAGGACTGTATGACATATTTTAGCATCATTGTCTTGGCAGGCTACATAGATCCTTATTCTATGTTCAGAAAATGCAACTTCATGTAGTTGCTAATAGTTATCATTATAGGGTTTTCATGACCCTGTGTTTACAATAAGAAAACACAAAATCCTATATTAGAATGGTTGAACTCACTTCATACTTGGCCGTGAAGGTCTTGCAATGACAAATCAGTTTTGCACTTGCACCTTTGATCACTTATTTAGCTGCATATCCTATGCAAATCAGAGTCGTGATATGATGGCCATTTAAAGGAGAACATTTTCATTATCATTTAGTATACAATATCAAATAATGTATTGAAATTTGATATCTAAATTGTATTCTCCAGATTGTAAATCAGCGTGAAGCTGCAAGTAGCAACATTTTCAGGCACAAGGAGTTTAATCTTCAAACGCTTGGAATTGGTGGCTTAGGTGCTGAGTTTGCAGATATATTTCGAAGAGCTTTTGCATCCCGTGTATTCCCTCCTCATGTGACAAATAAGTAAGATAACTGATTCTTCAAGCTGCACTGATATCTTGTTGGTATATCTTTATACCACGCTCCTTATTGGAAAGATTTTGATGTTCCAGATTAGGGATTAAGCATGTAAAGGGTATGCTGTTATATGGGCCACCTGGTACTGGAAAAACTCTCATGGCTCGTCAAATTGGAAAGATGTTGAATGGGAAAGAACCAAAGGTTTGGAGTTTGATCCACCTTTTTTTAAATAATCAAATTTCTGAGTTGTCAATTCTCTTAAACACTGTTTGGATGAGAGAAAAAACTTGGAATTCGAACAAAAGTCAGAATTTAGAAATTGATGTGCGCCAATTCCCTTGTTCGGATTCATAAACGTAGAAATTTATAATTTTTATGTGAAAAAAAAACTTGGAATTTGGGGCTCCTAAGTTTAAAATCTGTGTAAATAGTTGGCACCCATTCTTCTTTTAGGTAGCCAACAAAATTCAAAAATTCTAGGAAATAAAATTTTGTCATTTCAATTTCTGTCAACCACCACCACTCATTCTTCTTTTAGGTAGCCAACAAAATTCACAAATTCTAGAAAATAAAATCCCATCATTTTAATTTTTGTCAATTTGGAATTCCTTAGTAATCTTAAATTTCCTCATCCAAAAGCACTGTTAGGACTAAGAATTTGTTCTTTTCATTGGTCCGGAAGTTGAAAATTTATGAATGTTTGAATGTTTTCTAAGTTTCAGCTGTAATTTCAAATAATACTTACCAATTGATGACTCATGAAACTGAGATGAAATTAAAAAACTAGGTACTCATTGTCACAATCTTGTATTCTCATTTTTCATAACAGGCATATGTAATGAATCGATTAAGTTCTGCCAGCTGTAAACATTGAACCATGCCGAATCATGCTTTAATACATTATTTGGATGCTAGTACATTATTTAAAGGTTCCAAAGCTATTTGAGCATGTTTGAATGATTTTGGATATGCAACTTTTCCTTATATAGGTTAGTTATTAAGATGCTTTGGTGATTGATGAGATTTTATTTTTGTGTTCCGTAGATTGTTAATGGCCCTGAAGTTTTGAGCAAGTTCGTTGGTGAAACTGAGAAGAATGTTAGGGATCTATTTGCTGATGCTGAGAATGATCAAAGGGCTCGCGGTAAGGGAAAATATATATTTCAAGTGCACTTAGGTTGGTTTTTCAATAATTTCTAATGTCATTATGTCCTTAATTCCCCAGGAGATCAGAGTGACTTGCATGTGATAATCTTTGATGAAATTGATGCTATTTGTAAGGTATAAAGATTTCTTACTCTATGCTATTTACTAAGATTCCTTATTCACCTACATTGTAAAACCTCCAAACCCTTCGTTTTCACAGTTGCATAGCTTGAATTGGATCAAAACGTTTCTTACTCTATGCTATTTAGTATTTACTATAACACATGCTTTATTTTGCAATACAGTCAAGAGGATCAACTCGAGATGGTACTGGGGTTCATGACAGTATTGTGAACCAGTTACTCACGAAGGTTGGTGGTGAAATTTACAGTTGTGCTTTTTAAGTCTTGCAAAAACTTACAAACTTTTCTAGGCCAGTATATCTTCTTTGTGCTCCTAAGCAATCTCATCAATATGTCTGTGAAACTTCTTTTTCAGATTGATGGTGTGGAGTCTCTTAATAATGTTTTGCTTATTGGGATGACAAACAGAAAGGATTTGCTTGATGAAGCTCTTTTGAGGTGCTCTCTCTCACTCTCTCCAAACTCATTCCACAACATGTTTATTCAGTAAACATCTAATTTTTTGTCCTTTTCTTGTTTGTAGGCCAGGACGTCTGGAAGTTCAAATTGAGATAAGCCTTCCTGATGAAAATGGTCGTCTACAGATTCTTCAAATTCATACAAACAAGATGAAGGAGAGCTCTTTTCTTGCTCCAGATGTGAACCTTCAAGAGCTTGGTATGTGCATAAGTGACATGCTTGCCAAATCCTTATTAATCTCTTTCACCTTTTATTCAATTCCTCTTTTTCTCAAAAGTTGTAATTTTATATAATAAGACTTTTTTATGTGGGCGGAGGGGTATGATGTTTTTTCAAAATCAATGACCTTGGTCCTTGAGATTGGAATATTCTTTGATTGTTTAATGTTCCAAATTCTTAATGCATGAAACTTTAAGGATCCTGACAATAATTTGAACCTTTCCTATGTATCCATGAAGGAGATAGAAGGCTTTGCTTATATCTTTCATGTTTGCAGCGGCTCGCACGAAAAACTACAGTGGTGCAGAACTTGAAGGTGTTGTTAAAAGTGCAGTGTCATTTGCTCTGAATAGACAACTAAGTTTGGATGATCTTACCAAGCCAGTGGATGAAGAGAGCATTAAGGTTACTATGGACGATTTTCTACATGCACTCCAAGAAATTGTACCTGCATTTGGAGCCTCCACTGATGACCTTCAAAGATGCAGGTATGGCTTGAGATTGTGCTTCAGAACTATTTAATAATAGTAAATAAATCTGACCCGCTATTTAACTAGTTTCATCATTTTGTTAAATTAGACCCATCTACCAAGAATTGGCCCTTGTAAAAGTACAGAAATCTTGATTCTGGTCCCTTTAAAATGACGTCATGTTTTTTTTGGTAGTTTGAAGCAAAATATGGAACCTATTAAATGTTTTTATTTGTATTTCATTTCCTCATGGTTCTGTCACTTGATTTGTAGACTTAATGGAATGGTGGATTGTGGTGATCGTCATAAGCACATATATCAAAGAGCTATATTATTAGTGGAGCAAGTCAAATTGAGCAAAGGAAGCCCACTTGTTACATGCCTTTTGGAAGGCCCTAGTGGCAGGTAAGCATAATTGTGTGCATTTTTGTTCTATTTTCATTTGCTTTTTGTTTACTTTGAGCATTCTTAACTTTACCCATCTTGGACAGTGGTAAATCTGCACTAGCAGCTACCGTTGGCATTGACAGTGATTTTCCTTATGTCAAGATTGTAAGCTCCCACATTATTTGTTTCACTTTACATATTTATATGTTTTTCAAGAATTTCCAGTCTTTTAATAATCTATATTCTTTTTATTCCCTGTTACAAATTTTACGAGTTTTTAATTGGATAGGTTTCGGCTGAGACAATGATTGGTCTTCATGAGAGCACCAAATGCGCACAAATTGTGAAGGTTTGTTTTGTCTTCTTGAACAATTTTAGTTTTAGAGATGTCACTTTCATGTCTCAAATATTCAACTTTCCGACTAATGCAAAATATTCAGTATTCTTGGATTATCTGTTTGTTTACTTATTATCCTTGTGTAAGTATAGACACGCATATGGATGAATGTAGCCTTATTGATATAGTTTTTGTTTTTGTTTTTGTTTTCATTTCTGTTATTTTTTGAATAGGTTTTTGAGGATGCATACAAATCACCGTTGAGCATCATTATCCTTGATGATATTGAAAGGTCATTACTGCTGCTCTAAGTTTAATTGACTTTTGTGACTCATCGTATCTTGTCTCCAAAAGCCTTTAGCAACGATTTATCTTGAATATATTGTTATTTTTAATTCGCGTTGCAGGTTACTGGAGTATGTTGCTATTGGTCCAAGGTTTTCCAATTTGATATCTCAAACACTGTTGGTCCTACTTAAGCGTCTCCCTCCAAAGGTTTGTCATTTACCCTTGACTTCATTGAATATCAATGATACCTATTATCTGCTAGCTGAGTGATTATTTTTTGGAATGTGATTACTTTTTTCTTTCATCTCTGAAGATTATGGAGTTTGGATGCCCATAATATTTGTTTTTAACCTTTCTCTCCTCTTCAGGGGAAAAAACTTCTGGTCATTGGAACAACAAGTGAATTGGGCTTCTTAGATTCAATCGGTTTTTGTGATACCTTCTCTGTCACTTACAATGTTCCCACACTAAAGACGTTGGATGCAAAGAAGGTAATGAAAAATTTGCTTCCATTTTGGTTAATTTTTTGGCTTTACATCTTCAGCTGTTTTGCTTTTAACGTTGTTGGTGAGTGAATGTTCTCGCCTTCCAAATATGATTCAGTGGGCATGTTTTTATCAAAACAAGGCTTGTATCGCTTCGCTTCCAAAACAAAGTGAAAGCAGTCTGCCATCTTGGCTGTATATTTCTTGGAATAAGAACTGCATGTTCGTGTTTTTATCTAACGTGATGTTATAGAAACTTTAAACTTTGTACGTAATACACTAATTTCTTCCCTTTTTCTCATCGTAGGTGCTGTCACAATTGAATGTTTTTGCTGATGAAGACATCGATGCGGCTGCAGAGGCCCTGAACGATGTAAACTCCGCCCTCCTTAATTTTCTTCATCCCTTCGTTCTTTTTATATTTCTTTACTGTTAATATCTGACTTTGATCTATGTCTCTCTCTAGATGCCCATCAAGAAGCTCTACATGTTAATTGAGATGGCAGCTCAGGGCGACCAAGGAGGATCTGCCGAGGCAATCTACTCCGGAGAAGAGAAGATAAACATCACTCACTTTTACGATTGCCTTCAGGACATTGTTCGATATTAGTTTATATGGCACTGTTCTTCTAGGATATGAAAACCACAGAATTCTTATCCTTCGATAGTTCGGTTAATTATTCACTCTTATGTTTTAGATACTCCCTCCCACTTTTCGTTTTTGTTTTTGTTTCGGGTTTTGTTCTTGAGGAAAGGAGAGATGATTTTTTTTGCAGGCTGGTGCTTTCCCCTGTTGGGATCAATCCTTGGTTGTTTTGAGTTGTACCTTGGGTGTAGTATTGTATAGATTGGAACATGGAGGGATGTTACAGTCCCATGATTATTATTTCGGATGCCATCATGGCGGTGGACCTGTTTCGTGTAAGTTACTCTCTCATTCTAGTTGTACTGTTTGTTTTATGGGGCGAAGATGCTGCCTGGTAAATGTCACTGCTATAAAATGAATTTTTATTTTTTTTATTTTTTGGGGTAAATTGAAAGCGAAAGTGATGCAGGGTGTAGCAGGGTGAGAAAATAAAAATGAAAAGATAAGATATATATATATATATAGGTAGGGTCAACTATCTCCTAGTGTGAAAAGAGACTTGAAAACCTTAAGAACTTCGATTCTAGTACCAGCAGACAACAACTACAAGAACAAAGAGACATATTCTTAAACAAGAGCAAGACCTAAAGCATCAAAAAAATATTGACTTTATAGCTTAACAAATAAATAAAATATTGAAAATGGCAGTGAGACTAACAATGCCTCTTAGAAAGTGACAATTTAAAATACATTTAAAGCATAGATTAAAAAGACTCACAAAACTTTTATTAGATGAAATCAAGGCAATCGCATATCGAAAAAGCATGTATCTTATAACGTTTAAAATCATCAGTAGCTTTAGCTGTGGTTCTAATCTCAGAACTAATGTATTTAATATCTGGTTTCCATAGCATGCACGTTCCAACATACATCTCTAATTATAATAATACATGGGTACTGAAACAGTTTATTAATGTTTTGCTTGAAGGAGAGGTAATAACCGTTAAAGCTTCATCACGAAAGATCATTTTCTTTCATGTGTACTAAAAAGTCAAGTCTTTGTTTAAAGAGTTTTGCTAGCTACTGCATGTGGTCTAATATCCTAGTAGATAGAATATTGGGTTTCTACCCATATATTCACAACTTCCATAATGATATAATAATGCATGTGGCCCATGACCGATTCAAGAAGTGTGCAAATGTTTTTTTCTTTGAAGGAGGCATTCACAGCTACCATAATATAATAATGCATGTAATCCATGGTCGACATCAGATAGTTACTGACACACCCGATCTCCGATATGGTTTAACACCATGATTATCACATGTTCTTGGTGATCCGAAGGTGTTGATATTTAGGATGCATATTAATATAATATTATAAAATATTATAATTAAATATTTAATATCATTTCATATGCAATTGAGGAACGTGTTCAATACAACTTAACTAGAACACTAAGGAAGAAAGATATAAAATTGAATGAATACAAAGATAGGGTCATTACTCGCGAAGGTACTCGAAGATAATCCGAGAGCGTGCAACATTGACGCAAGTAGATGTATTTATGTACGCATATCTAAGTCCTGTAGGGGGCTCAAAATACTAAGTCAATAGATAGGTCTGGTATTGCCATAATAGTAAATTTGATGATCCATTTTATATTAATATATATATTAGATATCATATTTATACGTGCTAACCAACAAAAGTTTGTATTGAAATTCAGTTAGTATAAAATGTACAGCTTTCTCGAAATTCCGACCTATCAAGAAGTGCCAATAAACATTTCTTGTACCTTATACAGTATAGTGGTAAATCTAGTTTCAATAACGACCCTGAGAGGCCCTCTACACTCACCCAACCGGAAAGTCCCCAATATATAAAGTTTTTCTCAATCTCGCCCCTACATCACCCGACCGTTTATCCTATATATTAAATTTTCAATCGACTGACCTCCTACATCATCTCGACCCATAAGACCAATATTAATAAATCTCATCGCCCTTGGTGAGTGACCATTTGCGCACAAAACCATTTAATATCTGTTTCAGCACCTAAACATATAATCTTCAAAGCATCCATTCATTCATCATTCATTATTGACATCTTTCATAAGTATAAGCATATATACTAAGATACATGTCCATATGTTACTCAAAGAACATAAGTTCGATAAAATAATGCTAATCCAAAATATTCGATTAAAGGACCATGTATGGGTTGCACAATTACTATGATGTGCAAGAGAATGGAGAATGTGAGTGTTCGTGTCTCAGCCAAAGGTTTGTGAGTGAGGCTGCTCGAAGGTGATGTATGCCAGAGTGATAAGGTGGTGGTGGTGATTAATGGTGTATGAGGAGGAAGAGATAAGAGGGAGGTCTGATAGTGAGAGAGAGCTCGGGGGGGGGTGGTCTTGGGGAGAAAGAGAGAAAAGAGGGGAAAATGGGAGAGGGAATCGGGGACCAAGAGGAAAGTGGGCCCCAAAAGCACACCAAAACTGACCAAATAGCCAATATTTAAACAATATGGACCCCTAACCTCTAAAGTGAAAATAATCGCAACATACCTTTCCGATTAGTAAATCTGGAATTCAAAGTTGTTACAGGTACAAATGTTTTTTTCTTGAAGAAGAGAGTTAAACTTGTTAAGCATTCATGATATGTCACTTTCTGTCATGTGTAAAGAAGAGTTTGTTGAAGGAGTTTTGCTAGTTGCTGCATGTGGTTCAATATCTTGGTGGAGGATGTTGAGTTTCTACCTATGCATCCACATCTATCATATATTTCATATAATAGTGCATCTGGTTCATGGCTGACACTAGAAAGTTACAAATGTTTTTTCTTTGAAAGAGAGAGTTAAACATGTTAAGCATTCATGACATGTCATTTTCCTTCACGTGTATTGAAAAGCCAGGCCTGTGTTTAAGGAGTTTTACTAGCTGTTGCATGTAGTCCAATATCTTAGTGGATAGATTGTTGGGTTTCTACTCATATATTCACAACTACCATAATAATATATATAATGCATGGTAATACTTCCACTTGCATCTATGCCGACATCGGATAAGTTGCAAATGTTTTTTCTTTAAAGGAGAGAGTTAAACATGTTAAGCATTCATGAAAGGTCATTTTCTTTCACGTGTACTGAAGAGCCAATCATTTGTTTAAGGAGTTATGCTAACTTCTGCATGTGGTTCAATATCCAAGTGGATCACAACTACTATATATAATGGTCCATGGCCAACATCAGAAAGTTGCAAGTGTTTTTTCTTTGAAGGATAGAGTTAAACATGTTAAGCATTCATGAAAGGTCATTTTCTTTCACATATACTGAAAAACCAAGTCTTTGTTTAAGGAGTTTTGCTAGTTGTTGCATGTGGTCCAATGTCACAGTGGATATGATGTTGGGTTTCTACCTGTATATCCATATCTATCATATATTTAATGTAAGAATGTATGTGGTAAATGGTCAGCATAAAAAAGTTACAAATGTTTTTTCTTTAAAGGAGAGAGTTAAACATGTTATGCATTCATGAAATGTTCTTTTCTTTCATGTGTACTGAAGAACAAAGTATTTGTTTAAGGAGTTTTGCTAATTGTTGCATGTGGTCAATATCTTAGTGGATAGGATGTTGAGTTTCTGTTCATGGCATTTCACAGCTGCTTCTTATTCTTTATAATAAAGCATTGTGGTCTCATAATAGGTTGACAACGACCATAAAAAGGTTACATACGTATCTTTCTTTGAAGGAGAGAGTTAAACAGGTTAAGCATTCATGAAATGTCATTTTCTTTCATGTGTTCTAAATAGTGAATCCTTTGTTGAAGGAGTTTTGCTAGATGCTGGCATGCGGTCCAATATCCTAGTGAATGAGATGTTGGGTTTCTACCTATGCATCCACATGCTACCATATATCTAACATGGTAATGCATGTGATCATGTCGACAAAAAAGTTTAGAATATTTGTTTTCTCTTTGAATGAGAGAAGTGTAAAATTGTTAATAGCATTCATGAAACACTGGTGATTTAGCCTTTCCTGGTTACAATAAACATAGCCCAATTTTTGTGTCTACGTAGATTTTCTTACACTGCTACTATACCTAATGTGTGTCAAGTAAATAGAATCATTGGAAGCCACATTACCATAATTTTACTTCTATAATGGCAAAGCCAAATCTAGAGGTAATGCGAATACAACTATTTTTCTTTGATTAAATAGATGTTGTGCATCATTCATGAAGGGTTCCATTCAATGGTTCATGATTTTTCTCACGTGTACTAAAGAACCAAGTCTTTGTTTAAGGAGTTTTGCTAGTTGTTGCATTGTATGGTTTAATAATCCCACAACAATTGGACTAGGAATTGTTGAGTTTCTACCTATGCATGACTTGTATACTATCATATGTATTGTATATAAAATGTTAGTATGGCCGAACATATAAGTTAATGTGTTAATGGGGTGCTATTCAGAAAGTTACAAATGTTTTTTCTTTAAAGGAGAGAGTTAAACATGTTATGCATTCATGAAAGGTTCTTTTCTTTCATGTGTACTGAAGAACGAGGCCTTTGTTTAAGAGTTTTGCTAGCTGTTGCATGTGGTATAATGTCCTAGTGAATACGATGTTGGGTTTCTGCTCATGCATTCACAGCTGCCATATATTTATTATAATAATGCATGTGGTCCATGGCTGAAATCAGAAAGTTACAATTGTTTTTTCTTTGAATGAGAGAGTTAAAATATTAAACATTCATGAAAGGTCATTTTCTTCATGTGTACTGAAGAGTGAAGCCTTTGTTGAAGGAGTTTTGCTAGCTGTTGCATGTGTTCCAATATCCTAGTGGATAAGATGTTAGGTTTCTACCCATACATCCACATGCCCCCATATATTTAATATAGTAATGCATGTGGTCCATTACCAACATAAAAAAGTTATAAATGTTTTTTCTTTGAATGAGAGAGTTAAACTTGTTAAGCATTCATGATAGGTCATTTCCTTTCTCATGTATTGAAGAGCCAAACATTTGTTTAAGGAGTTTTGCTAACTGCTCCATATGGTCCAATATCATAGTGGATAAGATATTTGGTTTCTACCTATGCATTCAAGCCTACCTAGGGTCGGCCCTGAGGGTAGCCGAAAGAGGCGACCACCTAGGGCTCCCAAGTGTGATGGGTCCCGAAATTCATTTACCTTATGTGTTAGGTTACTGATAAATAACATTGTTTTCAAAGTTGAATTGTTATTGTGTTGGTGAAATGAACTAGAAATTAGTTTGTCTCCTTGTCAGGAGTTTGATCCAAGCAAATGCATTTCTTTCTCTCTATTTTCTATCCGTTTTATTCCTTCATCATTTAACAAAAATAAAAATTACACATAAAATTTTAAGAAAGTAAACCATTAACTGTCTTATACAGTTTAGAAGAATAGAACTTGAGATAATCTAATTTTCAAACTGAATTTGTTTTTTATTTGAAATGGGTCAAATAGTGTACTGCCTTCTAAAGAGATTGAGTGACTTAGTTATGTTATCTATTTAAAAGAGAGAAAAAAAAAGTTGATTATGGGATGTTTTAAAGCAATTATAAGTTTCTGTGTTGGTTATGTTTTTGTTTGGTGTTTACTTTTTTGATACGGCAAACTTGTTCTCATCAAACTATTTTATTTGACTCGAGACTCTTTGTTTCATAAATGTCTTTGAGGCTTTTTCTCTTTTACCGGAACAATTATAGAAAAAATACAAAATGTCTTTTCTTCAAAAGGAAATAATTAATGTGTTTGGTGCTTATCAATACAGATAGATTATATAATGACAGATTAGCAGTAAGTGCATGCATGATATACAGCCACATGGTAAGATTTAGTTGAGGGATAATTCTAGAGAAATTGAATATGTAGACTAAATTTTGTAAATTAAATGACATTCATCGCTAAGGACAATAATTTTTTCAAGAGCTATTCAGACTGTCTGTATAGTGATGCGTCTTTGCTTGAAAACGAGAAACAAAAGATGAAGCTTCCGTTGCCGAAGATCTTTGGCAAAGTCCAAGAGAACCTCAAATTTGACCATCCAAAATTAATTTCAAGTAAGCGTGTATATAGAGTAAAAATTAGTTAATTCGGATTAAATAATCTCACTCCCATATATTATTTTAGGGGATACATCTTCTTGTTTAAGAGACGACGAATTTGGGCGTCAAGCAGTTGCAGGCATAAACCCTCTAAGCATAGAAAGGCTTACAGTTTATTCCTTCATCATTTAACAAAAATAAAAATTACACATAAAATTTTAAGAAAGTAAACCATTAACTATCTCATACAGTTTAGAAGAATAGAACTTGAGATAATCTAATTTTAAAACTGAATTTGTTTTTTATTTGAAATGGATCAAATAGTGTACTGCCTTCTATAGAGATTGAGTGACTTAGTTATGTTATCTATTGAAATGAGAGAGAAAAAAAAGTTGATTATGGGATGTTTTATAGCAATTATAAGTTTCTGTGTTGGTTATGTTTTTGTTTGGTGTTTACTTTTTTGATACGGCAAACTTGTTCTCATCAAACTATTTTATTTGACTCGAGATTCCTTGTTTCATAAATGTCTTTGAGGCTTTTTCTCTTTTACCGGAACAATTATAGAAAAAATACAAAATGTCTTTTCTTCAAAAGGAAATAATTAATGTGTTTGGTGCTTATCAATGCAGATAGATTATACACTGACAGATTAGCAGTATGTGCATGCATGATATGCAGCCACATGGTAAGATTTAATTGAGGGATAATTCTGGAGAAATTGAATGTGTAGATTAAATTTTGTAAATTAAATGACATTTATTGTTAAGAACAGTAATTTTTTCAAGTTCTATTTAGACTGTATAGTGACACGTCTTTGCTTGAAAACGAGAAACAAAAGATGAAGCTTCCGTTGCCGAATATCTTTAGCAAAGTCCAAGAGAACCTCAAATTTGACCCTCCAAAATTAATTTCAAGTAAGCGTGTATATAGAGTAAAAATTAGTTAATTCGGATTAAATAATCTCAATCCCGTATATTATTTCAGGGGATACATCTTCTTGTTTAAGAGACGACGAATTCGGGCGTCAAGCAGTTGCAGGCATAAACCCTCTGAGCATAGAAAGGCTTACAGTTTTCCCACCAGTAAGCAAACTTGATCCATCCATGGCTCACAAGAGTCAGCACTCGAGGAGGAACATTTAATAGGCCATCTTGATGGGATGTCCGTACAACAGGTATGTATATATGTTATAAAGGGCAACATTGTAACTATATCTTCTTAGTTGTTATGTTAGTGGTTAAGATAATTTGATAGTTTGTTGTATATATATACACCAAAGTTGTAACATTATGAGTGTGAAATGAAAATATATTTTACCAAATATGGTATCAACCGCCTTCTCTGTCTAACGACTCCCACTCTTCGATCCTACATTTCCTGCTTCTCTCTGCGTTCCTCCTCTATGTGTTCTTGATCAATTCTTCGATCATGTTCGAGATCTTCGATCGTGCTCTTGATTGTGCTATCTGCCTTCATCGTCTATCTGACAATGGCGTCTCCTTCGTCGGAATCGGTTTCTCCAATTCATCCCCTTCCGACTGAATCTTCAAACTCTAATTCTTCAAATTCTACCTCAATCACGATCCAAACATTGGATCCATGGTGCCAATCAAGCTCACCACCACGAATTACTTGACCTGGAGTGCTCTCTTTGCCCCGATTTTTCGCCGCTACAACCTTACTGGTCATATTGATGGACCTATGGCGGCGCCGCCTCACTTTCTTCTTGATTCTTCCGGAAATCGCACTCTCAATCCTGCTTATGTTTCTTGGTATGAGAATGATCAAAATATTCTCATCTGGCTCAACTCCATGCTTTCTGAATCCCTAATTCCATATATTGTTGGTGTGAATTCAGCTCGTGATCTTTGGGCGAAATTGGAATCACGGCTTGCCACGGCTTCTCAGTCTCATATTCATGAGCTACACTCTCGCTTTCGTAATCTTACCAAAGGCAATTCAACTACTGCTCAATACCTTCAGCAAATTGAGGCAATTGCTAATGCTCTTGCCAGTGCTGGCTGTTCGGTTGAATATTCCGTTCTGATCTCTGTCACTCCTCATGGCCTTCCCCCCAGAGTATGACTCGTTTGTTGATGCTATTCAATTCCATCTCGGATCTACAACAATTGATGAACTACATGGCTTGCTCCTTAGCAAATAGATTCAATTAGCCAATCGCAAGAAAATCATCTCTGAGGCATCATCTTTTCAGGCGTTTAACATGTCTGCAGGCATCATTCCCCTTCCTGCATCCAATCCTAACTTTCAAGCTTTTGTGGCTCAGTCTCCTTCTACCTTCAGCACTCAAAGTCGTGAAATGGATCGCCCTCATAATCGAGGTCATTTCAATCTTGGAAATTACAGATCTTCTAATAATCAGAGATTCTTTAATAATCGTGGTAATAATCAGTGTCATAATCGTGGAGTTCGCAACAATTTTTCATCCTACATGAAGAAAAATCCCTGTGAGATTTGTCATCAGTTTGATCATGAAGCATGTGATTGTCCTCATCGCCTGAATCTGGCTTATGGTGGAAAATCCTTTCCTGCAGCAATGGTTGCTAATACTTCTTCATCCAATCCTACTTGGATTGTCGATTCTGGAGCCACATCACACATGACCAACTCCTATGCAACTCTGCAGAATCCTGAAGCATACACAGCTCTAGAACAAGTGTACATTGGTGATGGCAAAGGTTTGCCCATCACTCATTCTGGTTCTACTATTTTGAATACTTCTACTAGTGTTTTTACACTCAATAAAGTACTATATGTGCCTGCCTTGAAACATAACCTTCTATCTGCAAATCAATTTCGGATTGATAATCACTGTTCATTGAATCTTTATCCTTCTCACTTCACTGTGAATGATTTTTCTTCGGGGATGATATGTTTTAAAGGCCCTGTTCAGCAAGGGTTTTATCCTTTTCATTTTCCCTCATCTGCAAATGGTCATCATAAGGCACTCATAGCTTCTGCAAAAGCTTCTAAGGATGTCTGGCATCAAAGATTGGGTCACCTATCAGTCAAGATTCTCAATAAACTTGCTTCAAAATCTTGTATTCCTGTTTTCGCTCATACAAATACGTCATTCTACTCAGATTGTGCATTAGGTAAAAGCACCAAGCTTCCTTTTGTATCTACATCTTGTACAACTAGCAAACCTCTAAAACTCATTCACACGGATGTTTAGGGACCATCACCTATAGCCTCTTCTCAAGGCTTTCAGTACTATGTCATTTTTGTGGATGACCTTACTAGATATTGCTAGTTTTATCCTTTGAAATGCAAATCTGATGTACTGTCAACTTTTATGCAATACAAATCTCTGGTTGAGAATTCTTTGTGTACAAACATCATTACTTTGAGGACTGATTCTGGTGGAGAGTACTTAAGTACTCATTTCTTTAACTTCTTGACTACACATGGCATTCAACATCAACTCAGTTGCCCCCACACACCTGAACAAAATGGGTGTGCAGAACGCAAGCATCGTCATTTAGTTAAAAATGCTCGCACTCTTTTGGCAGCTTCCAAAGTACCCCACATCTATTAGGTTGAGGCTTCAACACAGCAATCTATCTTATCAACAGATTGCCCACTGCATCCAGACAGTCTCATTGGGAATCTCTATAAACTATGAGTTTTTAAAGGTCTTTGGTTGTGCTTGTTTTCCATGGCTCAAGCCTTATACTTCCTCAAATATGGATCCTAAAAGCAAAACATGTGTATTTATTGGATATAGTCTGAATCACAAGGGCTATAAATGCCTTGATCCTGCAACCAATAGAGTGTACATTTCCAGACATGTTTTCTTCAATGAATCCAATTTTCCTTTTCATCATATGTCAAACACCACAACCCCATTACCACCCTTGCATCCTAGGCCTAGATCACTTGTACCATCTCCTCTTACCTTTACATTTCCTATTTTTTCTTCCTCTAGTACTAACACCTCATTGCCTAGATCATCCTCTAGTACACCACCTATCTTATCCCATGACCATTCATCCACTACTATCTCAAGTCTTATAGTGGCGTTTCCAAATTCCATTCCTCCCATTTCTAATCAAACCATTAACACTCATCTAATGCAAACACGATCTAAATCTAACATTTTCAAACCTAAAGCACTCATTGCCACTAAACACCCTCTACCCTCTCATCTCTTAGTGGATTACATACCTAAAACCTATTTTCAAGCCTCCAAATACCCTTATTGGAGCCAAGCAATGCAAGAGGAAGTCAATGCTCTTATCTTATTCCCAAGTCTTCATCACAGAACATTGTAGGTTGCAAATGGGTCTTCCGTATCAAGAGAAAGTCAGATGGCATTATATATCGGTACAAAGCTCGGCTCGTTGCCAAGGGATTCAATCAACAGGAAGGTTTAGACTATACTGAAACCTCCAGTCCGGTAGCCAAGCCAGTTACCATTAGACTTCTCCTCACTCTTGCATTTCAGTTTGATTGGTTCTTGAACCAACTTGATGTCAGCAATGCTTTCTTACATGGGACACTCAATGAATCAGTTTTCATGCAACAACCTCCTGGATTTGAAGATTCAACTAAACCATTTCATGTCTGCCACTTGCATTGTTCTCTGTATGGTTTAAAACAAGCTATGCGGGCTTGGTATGACAAGCTTCATGGTGCTCTTCATTCTCTTGGATTTTTTGGATCTCACAGTGATCATTCATTGTTTATCAAAAAGGGTCCATATATGATCTTCATTCTTGTCTATGTTGATGATATTTTGGTCACTGGTCCAAATTCTGCAGCATGTAAACAAGTTATTTAGCAACTTAGCTCCATGTTCCCAATCTAGGATTTAGGTCCTCTACACTATTTCCTTGGTCTTGAAGTTAAACGATCCTCCTCCGGTATTTTTCTCTCTCAAACCAAATACATATTGGATTTGCTTTCCAAGGCAAACATGACTGGAGCCAAACCTTGCAGTACCCCTCTCAGCACTTTTAAACTCGATCTTGATTCTCCCTTATGTCAAAATGTTTTTGAGTATCATTTACTAGTTGGTGCTCTCTAATATCTCACCTGGACACGTCTCGATCTTAGATTTGCAGTTAATCTTGTATGTCAATACATGCACAACCCTAGAATTTCACACTTTCAGGCTGTTAAGTGTATCCTCAGATATCTCAAGGGATCTCTTGACCTTGGTCTCTGGTTCTCCAAGTGTTCAACTCCTCCTACTATCACAGCATTCTTAGACGCTGATTAGGCTGGCTGTGCTCTTGACAGAAGATCCACTGGAGGTTATTGTGTATATCTAGGAAACTCCTTGATTAGTTGGAGTGCAAAGAAGCAACCAACTGTTGCTCAATCTTCCACAGAGGCCGAGTACAAATCTCTAGCTAACACTGCTTCTGAAATAACCTGGCTATGTCAGTTACTGATGGATATTGGCTATTGCCTGCCTGCAACGCCCCAACTCTAGTGTGACAACATTTCAGCTATATCCCTAGCAAAAAATCCTATTTTTCATGCTAGGACGAAGCATGTAGAAATAGACTATCATTACATTAGGGAAAAAGTACTTGCTAAACAGATCTCTGTCCAGTTTGTCTGCACTCAAGAACAAGTAGCTGATATCTGCACAAAGTCTTTGTCCAAGCTCAGATTCCTCTTCCTTCGTGACAAACTTCAACTTAGACTACCCAAGTTCAGTTTGAGAGGGGATATAAAGGGCAACATTGTAACTATACCTTCTTAGTTGTTATCTTAGTGGTTAAGATATTCTGCTAATTTGTTGTATATATATATACACCTAAGCTGTAACATTATGAGTGTGAAATGAAAATATATTTTACCAAATATATGTTGTATGCAAATCTTCCGTTACATGCGCATAGTACAAGAGTGAACTCATCATACCAAAAGAACTAAATCTTAATTAAACCCTAAATTTCATAACCACCAGATGCCAAAAGATATATATTTTATAATGATACAGATCATGATAGAATTCACTACAATGAATTGTGGGTTTAATTTGCAGGTATATTGAAAAAAAGCAAGTTGTTCATACTAGACTATCATGACATGTTTCTTCCATTTCTCAACCAAATAAACAATTTAGATGACCGAAAAGCTTATGGAACTCGTGCGATTTCTTCTTGACCTCATTGGGAACTTTAAAGCCAATTGCTATTGAGCTGAGCTTGCCTCCGACAAAGTCAGGTTCAGCATCCAAGCAGGTTCTCACACCTCCAGTTGATGCTACGACAAATTGGCTTTGGCAACTTGGCAAAGCCCATGTCTGCTCCAATGATGTCGGTGCTCATCAACTAATTCATCATTGGTATGCACAACAAATTTCCATAATTCGGAGGATCGATGTAATTGTAAACATTCATTCGAACTCATCTGATAACTTTCTGCTCTGATATCATGATAAATTTTGAATTTTAAAACAGGTTATGCGTTCATGCATGCATGGAACCACTTATAATAGCAGCTCATCGCCATTTTTAGTGTAATGCACCCAATCTACAAAGCTTCTCAAACCTCACTTGCGAACCACCTTGAAGATAAATGCATTGGCTTGTCGGGAGCTCATCAACGTTGGATGCAAATGGTGTGGATGCCTTCTCCTTGGCTTGACTACTTTCTTGCTTGCTTTATTGTTAATACAAATGGTGTGGATGCCTTCTCTTTTTATAGGCATGGATGGAACCTTGGAGAAGTATGGAAACATCATGCTAGAGATATCTAGATAATTCCACTACCTTCTTAAGCTAGAATTATCTACACTAATCTTGCATGTTGGTGGAATCCTTACCATTCTTCTAGACTCTTCCACCAACTTGAACTTTGCTAGAATTCTCTAGCATGTGCATGGATCTTTCTTTATGCATGGGCTGGATCCATTGTCTTTGGGCTGGTGTTATACTTTTAACAGCAACAAAGTATATGGCAGTGATCGACATCATTTCAACTCACTCGCCTGATGAAGAGTATATTGGAGAAAGGAAGGATTTGTCGACGTGGTCAGCTAACACTGAGATTGTTGAAGCATTTTATAGGTTTTCAATGGAGATGAAGAAAATTGACAAGGAGATTGAAAGAAGAAATGTTGATTCAAATCTGAGGAACAGATGTGGGGCTGGGGTCTCACCATATGAGCTGCTCATGCCAAGCTCGAAGCCTGTGGTTACATGCAGAGGAGTTCCTAATAGTATAACAGTCTGAGGTTAATTCGAGACAATTAGGAACTCCTCTGCATGTAACCCCAGGCTCCGAGCTTGGCATGAGCAGCTCATATGGTGAGACCCCAGCCCCACATCTGTTCTTCAGATTTGAATCAACATTTCTTCTTTCAATCTCCTTGTCAATTTTCTTCATCTCCATTGAAAACCTATAAAATGCTTCAACAATCTCATTGTCATTTTTTGTAGGGATGATCTTGAAATGAAGATTAAAAAATTGAGTGATTTTCCGATCATGAAATTTGTACGGTCAAGGCGCGTTATTCACATAAGGGAATGATCTCATCCCTAAAGGAGGAAAGCATGTATATTATCCAAACAAAAAAGGGTTAAATGCAAAACAAATAGTTTGTACCTTTTCCTTTTCCAACCAAATGGATTTGATATATATGCTGAAAACAAAGATTAGTGAATCTTTGTTTTCTTATATTTTTCTTCTGCTTGTCGATCATGCACTTCATTGTTGATATTTATGCTTCAATTTTTTATGTGTTTAATGGATATCATTTTTTACCCAAAAAAAAATTCATGATGAACACAATAAATATACCAATTTACCAAATATGCATGGAGCACCTAATTCTAATAGAGGTATTTTTGCCCACCCCCTAACTCTAGGTCTTCCAAAGTCATGACACGTGTAATCAATTTTAATTTTAATTATGATCAGGATTTTCTTTTAATCTCCAGTTATGAAAAAAAAAATAATAATCAAACAAACAAGTTTACCATATTTACTCTCTCATTAATGTCTTAATTGATTGGTTAATTTCAAACATTTATCTCTGCACCACAAAAACTCTCATTTTTTTTCCTAAATAAATCGCCATGGTTGGCTGGAAAATAGCTCGAAAGTAGCTGTCTTGGTCTAGAAGACAGCCACTTTCGAGCCTTTTTTTCGGCCAAAATACGGTGAGTTATCCATCAAAAAAGGTACCATTCTCTTCGTCTAATCAAGAAGTATGATTTTCGTTTTTGAATCACTTGATTTCATTGAGTATTGAAGAAGTTATGAACGTTTAAAGTTTACCCAGTTTCCGGCGAGTTTTCCAGTTTTCCATCGGACCAGTCAACTTTGAGGCTATTTTCCGGAAATTTCCGGCAACCATTGAGCATCCAAATAGGTATAATCTTATTCTACATTTTCCTATCTTCATTTTGATATATTATGGGTCGAATTTGGTTAAGAAACGATTGAGTTAGGAAGCTTTGAAAATTGCCCAAACTTCCGGCCAAGAGCTCCAGGACACTTAACAGAGTTTTTAACGGAATGACCAAAATGATGGATGGTGGACAATCTCAGGGACCACTTTTATCGAATTGAAATGTTAGGGACCAAAGTGATGAGTTATGCAAATCTCAGGGACCATTTTGGCTCTTTAGCCCCGACTAAATAATACCGTGTTCTGGGTGAGTATGCGGGCATGAACTGGATAAAATGGATGGGCCCAGATTATTAATCCAGTAACTATGTAATACGTATGGGCACCAAACAAAGGACTTCATATTATTCGTATTATCCGGTGTTTTATACAGCTTATCAAACGAGGCCTTAATGTTCAGAGTCATCTGACGGTCTAAAATCTTGCTCATTCAATGACCTTGTTTGCTCGGGCCGATGATGTAAAATTGAGTCCAAACAAGTACCCATGTTCAATTTCAAAAATAATGTAGTATTTGTGTTTAGTTTAAGAAATAATTAGTATTCAATTTTTAGAAATAGTGATCAGTTTCAGGAATAGTGTAGTACCCGTGTTCAATTTCAGAAATATATGTAGCATTCATGTTTAGTTTCAAAAATAATTAGTATTCAATTTTCAAAAATAGTGTAGTACCGTTCAGTTTTAGAATAGTATAGTACCATTCAGTTTCAGAAATAATGTGTGTGACTGACGTGTGGATCTGTGCATCCATTTTTTATTACATTCTATTATTATTATTATATTAAACTTTTATCATTTTCATTAAAGTTTAGGTGTTTTTCATTAAAATTTAAGTCATTTTCATTAAAAAAAAGTTATAGGATGATTTTTTTTTTGTTAAAATAAACTTAGCTCAAGCCCTTTACATTTCCTAAAAAAATTGATCATCACGACATTCTATATTATGTTTTTTCAAAAGTGAAAATACAAGTAGAATCGAACACTTATGCAATATCAAACATGTTTTCATTTTTTTCTTCTCAAAAATTGGTTTCAGATGACCTACCGGATGCCTTCTCATGTTAAACGTAAAATTTTATATTTTCTCTTTTCATTTTACAAAGATGCTTTTGAAAAACATTGCCAGACATGCCATTGTTAGGTTGATATACCTCGCTAAATTTGATAATTGATCTATAGCATTTGTTTCCTCTACTAAGAAATATCCATATTGGAGTTCACGGAATCATGCTTGGTTTTTATTTTAATTTTAAATCTCGTGAAACATAATAATGCAATTTAACTCATGTTTCACGTTTTATGCTATCAAAACACAGGAACCATATGTAGAAAATGAAAGATACATAAAAGCAGTTCCACCGGGGCCAAAAAACCAGCCCGGCACCCAGACTATCCACGTCAGCCCAGCATTTTGATCAGCACCCAGCTCAAGGCAGGCAAGAGACCGGCCTAAAATCGACAGACCCACATGCCGGGCCATTTGACGTCAGCCGGGCCATCAACCTCCAGCACGATCAATGCGTCGTAGAAAGATCTTGGTGTAGAGCTCCTCAAGGCTGAGGTTTATTCCGGGTTCTTGGTGCACCTCCAAATCCAAATGGGGAGGTTGATTACAGGTTCTTGGTGCAGAGCTCCTCGAGGCTGAGGTTGATAATGGGGCGGAGGGAGATTTCGGGTTCTTGGTCTCCTCCAAATCCGAATGGGGAGAGAGAGAGAGAGAGACAGGGAGAGAGAAATGCAAGGAGGTTCCAAACTTACCGTCTTTTTTTAATAAATTATTATTTTAATTATTTTATAATAAAAATAATAATATTTTAATAAAATTGACTAGGCTATTTTTTGTTAGGGGTGAAGATGCAGTTGATCTATTACTGTTCACTGAGTGAATTAAATAGGCTGAGTGCTGGCGCTTTTTTTTAGGAGTGGAACTGCTCTAAAGAGTAAAGACACATGTTGTCCCTCTCAAAAAAAGGCATCTAGTAATTGTACAAATTACAAGTTCCTAGTAAAGGAAATCGAAGTATCATCATCTTGCTTTACCTTCTTTGTAGAGAAAAGAAGAAGAGGCCACTGAGAGAGGAGAGAGGGGGGGGGGGGAGAGAGAAGAGAAAAAGAGAGCGGAGAGAATCCAACTTCATTTTTATATGGTTTTCTTTTGTCTGATATGGGACGTTTTTACTTACTCGTCCTCACAACTAAGACCATTTATATCTCTATCAACGCGTTCTTTATCATATCGATCCTTTCAAAATGAAGATTGATCATTTAGCTAGCTCACAATACTTGGTCATGGCTTGAAGCTTCCCTCGTTGAAAATATATACAGAAAATTTGTCGCCAACATATGCAGTGGCAGAGGCAGCTGAGCTGAAGCAATGTTGCAGAGGCAATACTTGGGCATGACAAGAGACAATGTTGCAGAGGCAGCTGAGCTGAAGGAATGCAGTTGTTCTATATGCGTAGCTTTGCGTTTTGCACATTTTACTTCTGCTTAGGTTAAGACTGGTACAACACGTAATGGAAAAGCATTCGCGGGTACGTATGCATGCATGACAACATAGCATACAACATTGTTGAATTGATTCCTTAGTTCACGTGCATGTCGGGACCATCCTCTAACTCGACCTTAAGAAAAATCTACAGAACCATGTCCACCGCGGAAACTTGACATAGTAAATTAGTAATTACTAAATGAATGATTTTATTATTAGTACAAGAAGATGTAAACACACACATCTTTTAGTTTCTCAAACACCCTTTTTTCTGTTTCATTTAATTTTAATAAGCTGATGGACAAAATTAAAGAGAGATAAATGTGAAGCTAAAAAGAAAGTGAAAATCATGTCTCTTAATAAAACATATATTTTAGATAAATAACGTTTTATCGCAATGACGACAAGTAATCATATTAATGCATCATGTTGTGGGTTGGATCCTCACTTATTGTGTTAGTATGTGGTAAGATGCTATGGTTGCAGACAATAAATGTGTAAATTAGTAATATACACCACTGACTTGTTTTTGGAAAAGTAAATTTGACATCCAGGCCAATTCAACCATTTGTTTAAATTACTCTCACGTAATTTTCTCGCGAGACCAGAAAAATGGAAAAATGTCTCTTGGTCAAAGAGAAAAAGTTAATATGTTTGGTGCTTATCAGTACAGACAGATTAGCAGCAAGAATATGGCAACCAATTAAAACTGTTACGTGATTATCTACCCTACGGCCACACAGACACAGCCGAGAAACCAATAATTAAACGTGTTACTTGATTATCTTGTCTAATAATTGAGAAGTGTGTAAGTTATACTCTTTAGTACAATGATAAAAATGTACTGAGTCTTTGTATGACTTGAGTTCAAAATAATTGAGAAGCGTCATTTTTGCTCCAGAAGGATCCTCTCCGGATCCTCTTTATGAGAATCTTGGGGATTTTCAAATCGTGTCCGTTTATTGTATGTTGTGTGATTAGTTTTCGTCAGGTACTATTCATATTTAATATAAAATAAAAGTATTCAAAATGATTTATGGCCGCACGATGTACAATAAACGGACACAATTTGATGATCTTCAGGATCCTCCTAAAGGATCCGGAGAATATCCTCACAAAAAGAGGATCCGAAGAGAATCCTCATTCATTTTTGCTAGCTATCGGTCTGATAGTTAACAAGTGTGGGCCATATTACTTTTATGTTCGCGATACAAGCGACACTAGTAGAGGAGAGAAGTAAATTTAGACCATTTTTTGCTATGGAGGGCTACGAAGTTTTGATTGGGCCCTGGTTTGATATTGAGGTGATTTTGCAAAAAAAAAAAGTGGGTATTAAAAAAAGCTTTATGTTTGGTAAACATTCAACTTCATATTTTTTTTCACAGTTTTTAGTGAAAAAAAACCAAAAAACACAAAACTGCAAAACCCAACTTTGAAAAACGGCTTTTTTTTGCTTACCCAGCTTCTACACAAAGCAAGAGGTGCTAAGGCTTTAATGAAATTTTCCAATGCCAACATCTCTGTATTCGTCTCTCTCTCTCTCTCTCTCTCTCTCTCTCTCCCTCCGTTGAGAAATGAATTTGCGGCACTTGATTTCCAAGCAAGCAGTAACAAATGCTTCAAATATCATGGGAAGGTTACGATCGCTCTATGCTTTCATTACCATAGCAGCAGACCCAGCCTCTGACTTCGTTTTGTCCAC